TTTTTTTTTTGTTCTTAGTTGTTCTTTCAAATTCTTTTCCCATTAATTTCCCGCTCCTCAATCGCTGCTATCAAAGCTGCGTGGCACACATGAAAGCTGCTAAATAAACATTGTTTGAGTACATGGAGTATCTCACCAGCGTGGGGAACCGCACGGTGTCTTGCTCTGGATATCTTTGAAAGAGCGCGAGAACTCCGTTTTAGATAATGGAGGCTTTAAAGTTTCACTTTCACGGCATAGCATATGGTAGGACCATATGGTATTGAATGTGAAAAAGTTAGAGTTGATGTTAGCCTGAACACTTTTTAAGAAGCATTAAAATCCATCTTTCTCAATCTTAGCGTTTATATCTTGATAGAGATCACCTTAATAATGTGTATTTGATATTTTTACAATGTAATTAACCAATTTTTTCTTTTGAAGAACTATATGAAACGACTTTTAGTTAGACGAACATGCTATCGTTGACGAGGAGAACAAGCGGAGGCAGGAGCGCGACGAACGCTCCCTTTTCATCAAAGGCTTCCCAAAGAATACCAAGGTCTGTTCTTCATTCAAATTTTACTATTAGGATATTAGGAATTTATAAGGATTGTTACGCTGCTTTCATAGAGTAGAAGTTGATGTTTTTACCGGCGATGTTGTAAATGATCACCATATTTTTTGTGAAAGGCATCTTTGACGGTGAGCGGATAATGAAGCGCTTCACCATTTAATATTTATGACTTATTTAATTTGGGAGAAAGAATTTTGTTCTGTCATATTTTCTCTGCTTTTTAATTAACATGTGTGGAAAAGAATCACCTCTTTTATTTAAATTATTGTTCGCTGTGCGATTTGTCGCTTTTGATAAGTTTTTAAACGAAATTTTTTTTCAGACAAAAGATCTCGAAGCGCTGCATGCAGATATTGAGACGGTTCGACATCGTAAAGGAACGTCGTTCGCGTGGTTCGTATTTAGGACAGAAGCATCATGTAAAAAGGTGTGTACCTACAGTTCTCATAAACATGAGATCTTATTCCTAATTGCAGGCACACACTATGTTATCGTCTGCCAAAATAGGTGGTAAACCTCTTTTTGTTGATTTCTGCGGCTCGAAATCTGCTAAGGAAGGTGTAGTAGGAAAAGGTATCTTTGGATTCTCAAATTTTTCATATTTGCAATGATATTGTTCAGCACCAAAACCAATAAACCCTCTTGAACTTTACATTAATGGACTGCCAGCTAGTGTCACTAAAGATGACATCAAAAATATCTTCCGAGCTGCTGTATCTATTAACATTCCTACTGCAAGGCCACATGAAATGAAGCGAGTTTCAAATCCGTTTCTGTCAAGTTTGCTACCTTCTACGCTCAAACTCATTTTAGACGTGCTTTTGTCTTGTTTTCCACTGAGGACGATGCAAAATCGGCATTTGACAAAGGCAAAGGACTTAAACTTGCTGGTAGATCTGTTGAAGTATTTTATGCTCGAATTCGGCAAAACCCCCAAGAACATACTACAGCAACAACGCAGGTAGTTTTTTTTATTGCCTCTTTTGACTCTCGTCATTTTATAGCGATATTGACAGGCCGTGCCAGCTGTGAAGAAAACAAGTTCTGTGAATGTGAAAAAATCTGCTAAAGCTATAAAAATGGAGAAAAGCGATAGTGATGATAGTGATGAGGAGGAAATAGAATCTAGCGACGAAGGTATCGAGGAGGTTATCACAAAACCATCTAGTAATGCTTCCTTGAAGAAGGTAATTTTGTACGAGAATTTCTAGCTTTTTTTGCAGTTCCTTGTCTTCTTTCATTATTATCTTTACTTAAAATACTATCTCACGTTTCGGTAGTTCGCTGAATTGCGAGTGCAGTAGATTTGCAGTGTAAGGTTCCCGCCAAAAGATATAGATAAGCAAGTGAGAGCTTTTGCGCAAGCGCGAACAACAGCTCACAAAAATTTATCACTCGAACTAGTGACCAAAGAGATCACAAAAAAGAATATATAAAAGTAGATCCAAAAGGGGGAGAAGAGGAGCAAAAGCAAATGGCTTCTGTTACACAACTGTATTGACTTATCTGTCATTATAAGCTTACATTGGGTTCTTCCATGGTCTTCCGTAAATTTTCTAACGCTCAGCGTGCCATTCTATAACTCTTGACTAGACCAGTAAAAAGTGAAAGCTTTTCCTTTACGAAACCACGGTTCGATCTCCAAATCATCTAATTTCATTACTTTGAGCATATTTTAGGTGTCAGGGAACTGCATTTTTTACACCTGCTAGCGTTTGCTTTCGAGCCCGCTAAAAAATTTGCCCTTCATGGAGAAGATACTATGTTGGTAATACTTGAATAATGTAGATTGGTGCACTAAGTGTAGTTCCTTAGATACACACACTGGTAGTTTGTCCGAGATTGTAGGAGACGAATTGGAGGGGGTTTAGCAGCTGTATTTTCCAGGCCTTGTTTCACGTGTATGTAATCTTTTCGAACGAATCCTAACCATAGGCGAGGTACTGTAGTCGTATTGAAGATTCTTCAAGACTGGCTGAAGGGCTTTCTTTAGAGGAGGACATTCTTAATTGCCAGATAAACTACAAGAAATCCCGTTGAGTTATGAAGAGGTCGAAGCGTCGACGATGTTTTTCGTCAAATTTCATTTACCAGCTCAACAAGTACAACAAACAAAAGACTTGGAGACGAGATTCTGTAGAGCAAGAAAGAATGCAAAACCTTATACAACCATTTGGTTGAAACAACAATGAATAAAATGGGGTAAATGAATGTTTGAAAAAAATCAATTTATGAACCTAATATTATAGGCTGATAAATGAATGTTTGAAACCTAAAGAACCTCATATATCGTTCCCACCTTTCTTCTTGGGGGTTTTCCTATGGAGCCCTTCAACCTCCACGGCAGTTCACATTGCCATGTTTTGAAACCATTCTTCGATTTTTCCTAAAATTTTTTTTCTTTGTAGAAACCGCAAACCGCTGGGTCTGATGAGGATGAAGATGAGGATGAGGAGGAAGACGAAGATGACGAGGAGGAAGAGGACGAAGATAACGAGTAGTCTCTCTTTTCTTTATGTAAAGATCTGTCTTTTTTTCTTTCAAATTTCGCCATGCTCTTGTCTTATGCTGTTTGATATTTGACCACTTGTTCACTCCATCCATCATACATTCGATGATATCCACTACACTTTATTGTTACATTCGTTTATGGCATTCTGATGTTGTTGTTATTGTTGAAGGTTACATGAAATTGTTGAATTTGAACTCATTCGAATCAGTTATTTCCATCGTGATCAGTGACTGCGAGGATTTTCATGAGAGAAAAGAGATTTTATCTTATAGCGTGACAAAGTGGGGGGCATCAAATATTGGACAAGCTGATCACGATTTTTTCTACAAAAAAAATTCTATTGGTTAGTGGGTGAGCGATCACTAGGAGTCTTTGTGTGCGACCTTCATGAATTAGGCGACTTCAACTAAAATCAGAGAAGGGTTTCCAAAAAAAA